TGGCTGGGGAATTCTGGGAGTTGAAGTCCACTCGTCTTAAAGTTGCCAAGGTTGAGGAATGCTGACCCACAGGACTTTTTCAGCTCTTCTCCTGGCTTTTTATGGTCTGCTGGAGGTGGACAGCATCAGCCTTAAGGCAACCAGACTGAAACCTAGATGTTGCAGACAGATCTTCCAGGAAGGTCTTTCAAGGATGTGTTTAAATGTCTTTTTTTATTACTATGTTGAAAATGGAATAAAACACACCTGTTCTGCCCAGCATGTGGAAATGGAAACTAACACCAAGGCTCCAAGCTTGGGCTAAAGAGGTCTCTTCTTTTTAGGAGCCAACCACATCATAGATGGCTGTAGTTCAGCAGGAGAACACTTGGCCAACATTTCTAGGGTTTCAATAGAAGCAAATATGTGTAGCTCACGTTTGAACTATGGAGTCCTTGGGGTTCTCTGAGCTTGGCTGTTTCCTTGCCAACGTTTCGTTACCCGGCTAGGTGACATCTTCAGTGCTAGCACTGAAGATCTTACCTAGCTGGATAACGAAACGTTGGTGAGAAAACAGCCAAGCTCAGAGAACCCCAAAGACTCCACATTTCTAGGGTTTCTTATCCCAGTAAACCATGGAAGGCTGCTGCTTGTCAATATAGGAAAGACCAAGAGTCTGACTTGGTAGATTGCAAAGTCCTGTATTTCTGATTCTGGATCCCTAATTGGCAACCCTTTGCACAAATGATTAATCTTATAATTGAGTACGTTACTGATTAGGATTAGGAAGAAGGATGCTCTCTTTTAGTGTCACTCAGACTTGACAACTTCCGTCCGTGGACTTCAACTCCCAGAATTCCTCAGCAGGCATGGTCAGTGCTGAGAATTCTGAGAGCCGAGATCCATACATTGGGAGTTGCCCAGGCTGAAAAATACTGACAGATGTGAAACCGTGTTTATGGATATTCATAATATTGGTGTATCTCATCAGCAGCACCTGCAAGAGGTTGGTGGTAGTCAAAACAGGCCAAGTGTTGGATGGATCAGGGCAGTGCTAGGACCCACCCTTTTTAGATGAGCATCAGTGAAAGGGATGGGCTTGCACTGTATTGCTACATCTATCATCTCCCCTGTCTTGATGCCCGCTGCAGATGCTCCACCCAAGTCTGACATTGTCTGCCCTGACTGGTAAAACTGGGCAGTTGTTGCCCACCACCTCCTATTTGATTCATTTTTTAAAAAGGATCCAGTGATGCCAGGAACTGAAGTTGGGATTTTGTAGTTGTGTTCTATCCCTGAACTATAAGTCCTTACTAGGATCACAAGTGACAGAAAAAAAGCACGCACCAAATGTAACACAAGTCCTGTTCTTCAGCAACAACCAGAAAAGAGAGGGTTTTTTAGAAAGGCACTTGCTGAAACAAGGACGTAAGCTTATTTGAGTGTGTGTGTGATTAGGGTGCTTACAATTTGAAATTGCAATTCGTTTGTAATTAAATAGGTACTTAATTTATTCGATCCAGCTTGTTAACAAAAATACAGTTAAAAATGAAAGCAGATTAATTTTTTAAAAAAGGTACAAAAATAATGAAAGAAGAGCACAGTTTAATACGTGATTATATCAATCCAGTTTTTATTTTGTTGTTTTTCTTTTCCAACAGAAGGTAGATTGGAGGTTTATCAGCATAACAAATTTCTGTCATCAATTCCTGTGTGGACGGCATTTGGGGAATTAGCTATTTTATACAATTGCACAAGGACAGCCTCCGTGAAAGGTGAGTAGGCTTGTTCCGAAAATGTGACAAAAACAGGAAGACAATCCAAAACTCCACTGGCTATTTTAACTGACAGTTGAGATTTTATGATGAAACAAAACTCAAAAATCTGTGAATAAAACTTTGGATTGGTTTTAAGAGATATCAAGACTCTGAAGCCCCAGTTCAGCTACTCAACTCTGCCCACTGGTGAAGCTCCAGGCAGCTGAGTCTGATGTTACAAAATTGTTATAGAGCCTTTCTTTCCTTCCAGTTGATAATACTCTGGCTAAACCAATCCTTTATGTATTAGAGCTTCTATAAAGAGAACCAGATGGCCTTTTTCTGCTTCTTCTGAAATTCTAGTCAAATATTAATTAGACTGGTGAGAATAAGGTTCTAGGGACATTACTTTACTCTGAAAGGTCTTACCAGTCTTAAGTAAATGAGACATATTCATACATTTCCTACAACCTTCCAACTGAGATAGCCTATCCTTAGCCATGTCCAGCCTGATATTTACAGTGTTAATAGCATTTTGTGTAACGGTTATCTCCACTCTTATCACCAAAAGAACAGCCACCACATCTTTTGATGCCCAAACTGTTGCATTAGTGGGTGAGGGAAAGTTGGTGGCAGGATTTTCTTGGGCAGCTTCAAGACAAAACAAGAAACAGGTTCTCCCCATGATCATAATAGAAAAAAAAAAATCATTGTTTCTGATTCCAATTGTAGCTATTAAAGTAGCAATGAAATGTCTATCAGGATATAAACATATGTATGCATAAATAATGTTTATCTGACTACAATACAGCATCATCCTGACAGGAAGACCAAAAATGCTAGAAAGTCGATGGACTCTTGAAATATCGAGAACTGACATCACAGTCCATGGATGCATGGGCGAAGTTAGAGACATCAGAAAGGCAGAGATAGGAGATGAGGGGCGGGCAAATTTGATAAGAATGGGGGAGAAATTAATGCATATCTCATAAGTTTATATCTTCAGCAAGCACATGTATTACTAAGTTATTCCAGATGAAACCTGTGTTGTGCAATCACACAGCCTCATTCATAGAACATTACAAGGTTTCTTGTTGAATTGTTTTCTGTTTGTACCCTTTCCCATGGCTACTCCCATTTTTCATTTTTTACCCAGTAATAACCATGAAGGACGGAAGGATAGAATGGCTACAGAGCATTTTTGTTTCTTGATGGATATTCATAGAAGCTCAATATCTGAAAGTTTTAGCTTCATCTTGTCTTTCTAAGAGACATAAAATTGTAATACCACTATTACATGGCCCTCAATGAGTCGTATGATGTTATCATTGCTCCTGCCATGCTTCCTAACTGGTGATAGAGAAATGCACAATTGGAGGACATCATGAATACTATCTTCTTAGAGATGAGAATGAAGAAAAAGATGGAATGGAACTGACCAGTGTTTTTCTGACTAAATCTGATTCCCTGAAAATGGTGCTGGCAGTTGCATCTGAACAGAAAACTTGTAAATTTCTCCCAAAAAAGGTTGTGTTCTCCAGATGTTAGTAATAACACAAAGGTTTAACAATAATATTGCATCACCAGTGTACCAAAGTACACAAACTTTCAGGTCCCCAATCAATGTATTTCCAATGTCATCACACTTATCCATAAAGACATTTAGCAATTAAGGGGATGTTACCCTCTCTTATTCTTTGCTCATTGTTGAGTCATTTGCTAAGCTTTCAGTTTGTACTCATTCAGGGTTTACTGCCACCATATATTCCTCTGATTTCATTCAGCCACCAACCTTCAATTCCATATTCGTGCAAAACTTTCCAGAATTCAAGCCTATTCACTTTTGACACATTTGGTCAATATGCCACAAGGATAGCCCAGTTTTACCCCAAGCATGCTCACAGTTTTCTATGCAAGGTAGGATCTCTAATCTAGAGATCCTCATGCATGCCAGTGTACTGTGGAGGTATATGGAGTGTGTTCAGCATATTTTTTTCCTAGTGAATATGGAGGCGTAGAGGATCTCTACATTCAAAATTAGTTTCTTACACTATTTGGTTTATAACTTTGGAAGATATTAAATAATAGTTGAACCATTATTCTGAAATGCTTTGGACAACTACATTTATTTATCTACAATATTACAACTACATTTACATTGCAACTAAAATAAATACAACTACATTTATTTATCTAGAGTAGGTTGTCTTCCAAAGAAAATTGACAGAGGTGGTGAGCAAGGTAAACAAAACAAACAAAAAAAATATTTGTGATAATGACTAATAAGATGTGAAGCTAGTTGTGACTCTTCAGTGTTAATTCCTGGTAGAGAAAAGTGTGAACGTATTCTCAGTAGCACAAAGAACTTTAGTAAACATGATTCATTGAGGAAACGTGTTCTGAATGTATATGAGTATCATCCTGTATGCTAGAATTGTCTATTTTTCTGTTTTGTTTTCATTTTTTCTATAGCTGTCACCAGTGTGAAAACATGGGCATTAGACAGAGAGGTTTTTCAAAATATCATGAGAAGAACAGCTCAAGCAAGGCACGACCAATATAGAAACTTTCTGAGAAGGTAAACATGGCACGCGCATTCCCCCTTTTTAATATCAACAGACAGAAATGGGATATTCTGAGACAAGACTTTGTCTGGCAATTTGTAAAGTCTTGTGTTCTCAAGAATAACCCATTAAAGAGGGAGAAAAATTAAATAGCTGCGTAGAGTGTTTTGGTTGGTGTTCTTGGATCCTCCTACCTGGAAACACTCTTCCTGCTTTTAGAAGATAGATGAGTTATATCTTACAATGAATTCTTAGATCCAGAATTATCACTCAGTCATTATACTGAACACATTGCAGATAAATTTGAATATTCTTTAGGAGCTCAGTTTTGAATATCTGTTTGGGTTCTTTACTGCAAATAGCTATATAATTGGGAGCCACGCATGCAGCTCTGTCTTAATCATTCATAAATTTCAATGTGAAAATAGATATTACAAACACAATAATTTTGTTTACATCCAAGGTCAAATGAAGATACGATTGTTTACACAAAGAGGCATCATCTCTTCCTCTCCATTTTCCATGTCCACCAGTTTTGTTCTGGAAGTTTTTCAACTCTCTGAAGCACATTTTGATTGAATACAAATGGGTGGGGAGTATCTGTTCTATCAATATTTATTTCATTGGTGGACAGAAAATGGTGGTTTTCACCCTGTTTTGAAGGTAGTTGTGTGGGTTAAGCAAGTATCAGTTTTGATACTGTTGACTTGAGTCTCATAGATAACCTGTCCTTTTTCAAGATACCCATTTAATAGCAACCTCTCAAATCATAGTTCTTTGAAGAAACATGGAACTCAGATTTAAAATGCTATGTTATTATCCTAGTAGTAAAACTCAAGCCAAACTGAAAGAACATATTTTGGGTAAAAAAACTTCTGCAAAGGAAGTAGATTATAGTGGTTCTTCTGTACCACTGCTGAACTTCCATTTATATACCAAACCTCACCATTAATCATTTGCGTAAACTGTTTTTTATAGATAGTTACCCATAATATGCATAATATTTTTAGGAATATCTAACTGTCCAAAAAAGAACTAAAGTCAAAACACTTTGAAAGTTAAAGTTAAAAACTGAAAGTCAAAACTTTGTATACAAATTGAATTCAATGGATTTCTTTGATTTTTTTTAAAGTGTTTCTTTACTGAAGGATTTACCTGAAGATAAACTAACCAAGATTATAGACTGCTTGGAAGTGGTAAGTCTTGGGACCCCTAGTGAAATGTATTTAACCTTATTAGCTCTTCAGCAAAATTGCTCTAGGATAAAGTCAAACCAGGTTATATATTACATTGTGCTCCGATTAATCTCTGAATTCTAATGTATGTTATTTAATCTGGAATAAATAAGTTTATTCAGTAGCATTCTTAATGTGCAGAATCTGAAAGACCCATTGTGTTGGAAGTTACCATCCTTGCCTTTCTGAATTCCACACTGAAATTCCTAGAAATACTTTCTAAGCTGCATGGCTTCCCATATAGTTGCTTTAGCAACATCTAATTTTGGTGACCAGCATGTTCTATCACTATACATTACATGAAATAGGCAAATCATACTGCCTAAGGGGCTGAAATTTAAGGGGAATAATGTCCTATTCTGGAAGAGAGCCAATTTGGTCTCATGGTTAAGGCTCCAGAAACCAGGAGATTGTGAGTTCTAGTCCCACCTTAGGCATGAAAGCCGGCTGGGTGAATTTGGGCCTGTCATTCCCTCTCAGACCCCGATGTCAGGCTTGGGCAACAGGCTGGTTGGTCAATTCCTGTCATAACCAACAGATCAACACTAGGAAGGAAGGAAGGAAGGAAGGAAG